TGGGTGTATAAGAAGTCAAAGAAGTCAAGAAGAACTTTTTTACCATCAGACAGGCACATCCTTTAATAAACCTGAAGAAATGCCTACATGCAAAGTATTGGGCCAGTCCTCAGCTACACCATTACGAGCTGCATGAAGTTACTATAGTTTACTCTAGAACTGGTGCTTGAGCTTTAATCTGTGCCCTTTTTCAAACGGAATCTATTAAATAAAAACCCCGCATCTTTTCACACATGCGGAGACTTTCACAAGATATTTTTTTCCCATCTGTTTCACGGGAAGATACAAGCAGAGAGCAGAGTTTGAGTCCATAATGCTTCCTTTACTCAACCTCTTTCCCCTGCCCTTTTCTGAGAGGCAAAACTGTAAAAGTACGTGGGGAAGAGGCGAGGGGGAGAAAACTCTGGGGTTGAGGAGAAGACAGGAAAATTAAAACCACAAGTACTTGAAAAGGAGCATTTTCAGATCCAAAGTTTTTCACTAAACATGTTGCAACACAGTGCAAATAAATGAAAAAAAAGGGTCTCTTAAAATGCATGTCATTGAAATTATCTTGACATGTACATAATTTTGCATGTTCAACCCATTTCTCAACCAGCTCTGCCTCTACTTCTTCCTCGGGGAACAGGGCGCCGTTTGCATGATCATGATCTTTTGTATCCTTTCTGATGGGTCCCAACCATCCTTCCTGGCCTTCATGACCTGCTCTGGTCAGCACCTTAGCTCCACTGATTTGTTTTTAGGTGCTTGACTTGAGAAGTCTTGGCCCTGGTTGTCAATGCTGCTGAGTACCTGCAGCTCCCAGTAAAGTCACTGGGACCAGCTGGTGCTCTGCGTGCCCTGAAAACCAAGCCCAAGGCATCAAAAGAGGGGTATCCAAAAACGCCAACCCTGAGAAGAAGCCAGGCTTGAAACTGTGGCTGCAAAGTCAGCCTGCGAGTCTCTGTTGGAGTGAATGGCACAAAGGATGGACGGTCCCTGCAGCTTGCAAAGCCACCAAGAGCGGGGAGCTCTCACGCATGCGTGCATGCACCCTCCTGCATGCAGGGCAAGCATGGCGCAGGCAGAGCTCCGCTGGGTGCTGTCATTGACTTCTACAGTATCCACATTGTATGCGCTGTGCACGCCCAGTCAATACACACAGTGTGTACAATGCAGGTCCTATAAAGTCAGGTGTCTGCCCTGCCGCTGGAGAAAGCTTGAGCATCGCATGCTAGACAGGGTGCTCCCCCCACCCCTCTCTCCTGCAAAGAGATGACCAACGGCCAGTGTCCTCCTGCCATGCACACACATGCATATCTATCTATCTATCTATCTAGGTACATACATACACACACACATGTTTCTTCTAACACCCACATCTCGTGCACGTTGAGGTGAAGAGAAAGTCAACCGGGATTTATTATTGACTGTTTCTCACAACACAGGAACGAGGGGTCACACCACGAAACTAGCGGGGGGTAAATTGAAAATGGATTAAGGCAGTTCGTTCTTTTTCGCCCAGCGTGTCGTTAAAGTGTGGGATTCATTGCCAGCAGATGTGGGGGAAGTTGAGAGTTTAGCCAGATTCAAAAAAGGGACTGGACATATTCTTGGAGGAAAGGGACATCAGTAGCTATGGACCATACGACCAAGAGGCACGGCCTCTGAATCAGAACATCCTAGACTTTAAGGGCATTTATACATGTGGTCTGGGAATGGGGGGAGGAAGGGGGGGAGTTTTAATTAAAGTGGCTCCAGGAGCCAGAGTGTCACGTGTATCAGCGTCCCTGCACTAAAAAATCGCAGCGGGGTGTTTAACTAAAGCTCATTGAATGAGCCGTTTCTGCCATTTTTTCAGTGCGGAGATGCTGATACACATGTCGCTGCAGTCTGCTGTAGCGTGGTAATTGCCACACTTCAGTAGACTCAATTAATCGAGTCTGCTCTGATGCACTGTAGTTACAGCATGTCAGAGCAGCCTCTCTGCATGTGTAGAGGTGCCGAATACACTGGAGGCTGCAAGTGAGAGAGGAACAGTGGGAAAAACCCTGGGCAGACCCAGCTCACTGTCCCTGTGAGCATCTGTGCTCTGCCACGGTGCGACACAGGAGACTGGGCAAGATGGACCTATGGTCCAACCCACTCAATGGCAATTCTTATGCTTTTATGAGATGAGATATCAGATTTGACAGCTGGGGCAACAGTGGTGGCATTAAACTGTATATCCTAGAGGCATTGGATGCCCTAAAGTCTGCCACTAAGACACACAACCCTCTCCTACCTACTCTTCCTTTGTGGGCATGTCTACATGAAAGGCTTACTGCACATTAGTCTAATACACTGCGCAGTAGCGTGGCGGTTACAAACCATGCTAATAGCCCACTGTGCAGTGTTATTAGGCTAATGCACAGTAAGTGTCACAAAATAACCGTGCACCGGTGCTACTGTGCAGTAACTCTAGTTGCTGCGCATTTAGTTATTAGTTTATTAAGCAAGTACTAAACGAAATGTGCAGTATCTATGGTGCATTAATGAATGTGTAGACATGCCCTGTATGTGCCAAATTCACAAATGAGGCTTTGGAGCTAGCCAAGGGATGCCCCTCCACCCTGCTATCAGTCTCAAGCACACCTAGACAAACACCTGAAGCAGGTGCCCCCAGGTCAGCTTCACTGCCTCCTTTCTGAGTTTGGCAAGTGAAATCTTGATTCTGGCCAAAACATTCAGGTATGATGCCTGAAGACCTATCCAGACTCCCTCTCTTCAATAGTTGCAGAGAACTAGAAAAGCACTGGGGAATTTATTGCCACTATTATTATTATTATTATTCTGTCTGTCGGTGCTCTATCTTTTCTGCTTCAAGGAGGATGAAGGCGCTCCATAATTGAGTTCAATAGAGCTACGTGGACTTAAGCCAGACCAGGATGTGGATTGGACAGTCTCCTACAGATAAATCTCTGGAAGTGATATCAAAACGAGTCATTGAGCGCTTTGGTTTTGCCAGCCTTCTGAAAATAAATTGTTTTATGGTGAAAGGGTTTTTTTTTTTTAATGTATATATTTTCCTGGAAATATCCAGAGTAGCACAAGCCCTCAGATGTTTATGGTTAAGTAAGCAACAAATCTCAGACCTTGGGGCAAAAGTCTCTCTTCTGTATCTCTGTGAATGTTATGGTTACTTATCAGCAGTTCCATATCAGTCACCACTGTGGCGTGGGGATGGTCCAGCTCTTGCTGGAGAACTGGAGTTGTTCCACTGACTTCAATAGGCATTGGATTGGGGTCTCCAACTGGGTGCCCAGAAGCTATCAAAGCAATCAAAGCTCACACACACATGCATACACACACGCACAAACACATATTTTATCTTGCTAATCAAAAGAAAGCAAAAGCAAATGCCACTTGAGAAATCCTGTGTTCTCATTCCAGAGGCATTTAATTAAACACCGCAGAGTTTTGGAAGTGAACGGGCAATCAGTGTTGTGACAGGTGTGACTTTGGCTTTGTGGTCTGCTTGATAAGATGATTATACTTTGGCAGTGGCCGGAAAGCGTTAATGAAAGGTGCCGATGTCTACTTAACTGTTTTTGTTCAGCCGCTTCGGCATTACGAACAACATTTTATTTTTGTTGAACATGCGGCATTATTTCCTACTGCCTCTCTCTCCTTTCAGCATTTGCACTGGGAAATCATTCCTTAGATCGGCTCCTTACCATGTGTTTAATTTTAATAATAGGCAGCAAGATAAATTTGCCCCGATCCCTCAATGGAATATACATAAGACTCATTTAGCAATGCGCTCTAGGTAGCCAAGTGTTTTTTATATATCTTGAATCTAAATAATTCTCAGTCCCAAACCAGCCCACATAAGAATTGTCTCATGATGACCTGTTTGGGATCCTACTGGCTAGTGCAGAGGTGTCTGATTCATTTGGCTGGATCTGGACCATAAAATATGGACCTCAGATCTGGCCCATAACATATGGACCCCAGATCTGGCCATTGCCAGTAGCAGGGGCAGAGGGGGTGGCTGGTTGGTATGACTGACGGACCTGCTGCATCAACATGACTCCAGAGCCCAGGGTGTGAATGCCACTGCCACTTGCCCCACTTTTTTCCCCTGCCTCTGACCAATGGCAAATGAAGACCTCAAATTCGGTGGTCAGCAAGGGGGTGGGGGAGATAAGCGGTAGCGGTGCTCGCCGCCTGGATTCCAGAGTCATGCCGACGACCCCACTGGGTTGCAGTTAACTCACTCACAGGCTGCCATTTAGACGGCCCTGGGGTAATGCATCATGTGCAACCTTTTGCTGAGGAAAACCAGTCTTGTCTCACTGTGTAGTTCGAGGATCTAATTAGCTGGGACTTCCATTCAGATATAAATCATAGGGGGGAAAAGGCCAATTGCATACACTGCCAATCACGACGGTGCCTGCAGTACATTGTCCCGGGCTTTGCATTTTAAAATATAGGTTTGCTCTCTTTC